AGAAAATTGGGTCCTATACTTGAATTTACAGTGGCCCCACTTCTCTTCCTAGTTACTGAAGTGCACAGATTACAGGTTATTTATCCATGACTAGTTTATTCGTGATCCTATTCAAACAAGATTCCTATTCACTATGTGGTATTCTTTGGGCAAAAAATATTGCATTAAAATGTAAGCTCTGGAAGGATAAATTATGCTTTTAAATTCCCTGACTTTGGAACACTGCAAATGTTTCTGAATTTTTTTTTGTTTCTGGTGCCACAAAGTTGTGATTGTTTTGTCATCATACTATTCCAAGTGCCATTAATATTGCCTATTTAACCTGATTCATCTGCACCAAACAGCTTTCAGTGAACTTACAGTGGTCACAGTTATCTATCCAAAGTTTTTGATAAAATATAATGGTACTATGGTTAAAAGCTGCTTTTAACAAAACAGCTTTTAACCATAACATTTTTAATGATCCCAAAGCCACAAAAGTGAAATTTTTTTTCTTATATGTCTCCCAGACAGGCTAATGTTTGCACTGTAAAGAATACTACTCAGATGAAAGTGGAAGTGATGGCTTTATAGAATTAAACAATATTCACTGGTTCACATAGGTTCTATAGTACTGACCTAGAAATTTGCAGTACCATGGATCTCAGTGCTCCCTGGAGCCATTAGAAAAAGCTCCCTGTTTACTATATGAGAACCTTCCCAGGCACACTGTTGCAGGAGGGGAACGCTGCTTTAAATGTAGCCACTTCACAAAGGAAAAAACCTGAACAAATGGGAATGGTCACAGTATATATAAATATATTCTGTCCCAAGGTATTTACATTTTACATCACTTATGATATTTTCAACAGCTGACAATGGGATAATCCATACTTTGTTAACAATTGCATCTATCCATTCGTTACTTCTGTGTACAAGGAATCTATTGTAGCAGAGGCACCAACTTTAAACTGCTATTCACATATCATATGCAAACTATTAAGTCTTCCAAGAAAACCACCCTTGCTTCAACATAATCATAGTCCACTCAGAAAATTCAATGCACACAAAATACAGATCTTAGTGTTTTTTTCTTCACTATTAACTAGGATTAATAGCAGGTTCCAGATGGTACAAATAAGGAAGCTTAATAACCCATGTTTCAATGAAGAGTTCTGCTCTTTAGCAAAGTTGTATGGTACATAAACATGTGTTGGCTAGACAACAAATAAAAATCTTTTGCCTCATAAAATAGGTATGTGACTTTAGTGTTCAGACTCATAATAAGATTCAGGAAATTCAGGATCTGTAACATATCAGACATACAGAATACATTTTTCCTAGTATTAAAAGACTTGGCCATGTGAGGTGTTGAGTGTCCTGCTGAATGCATTTGGAGCCATGCAGGAGATATCCAGCAGCTTTCAAGATCTGGCCCATAGTTTCTTGATGAAATCACTAATATGTTTTAAAATACAGGTAGGTGAGAAGGGCAGGCCTAAAGCAGGCAACTAGCTACAGTATTAGCTAGGGGCTATATAAAATATTGTTCTAGACTAAAAATATTAAGAGCCACTTATTATATATTTAGCATTTATGCATTTTTACCAATGATTATAAACTGTAAAAATGTACCCTAGTTTTCTAAGATAATCTATGCCCTGAGAAGTTACATTGCACACTAAGTAAAAGCCACAAGGAAGTGTCAGATTTATAATTAGTGACCACAGTAATATTTTGAAAGCATAAACTGACTACAAGGAATTTTCCTGGAAGCACTAGTTTCCTCTGTTTGACTGCAAAATAATGCTTTGTCAGAGGCAATGGTTGATGACAGCCTATACAAATTATGGTTTTTCCCAGCTTTAAACACTATTTAATATTTCCTCCATTTGTTTAAACTCTTAAGGGGAAACTAGATGGCTTAACACATAAAGCTCTTGCTTTTCACCTCTGAAATGAGGGTCTAGATCTAGCCTGAGGATCAGAATAAAATAAGCCTGATGATCTCCATTTAAGGACATTATCAGAGCATTTTTTGGGAGGTAGTAGACATTACCCTTACATTATATAAGGCCACCTCCCCATAGTTTTATGATGTTGTTTACCAGTGGGGGAAAGCAGTTCAGAATGAAACACTCTTTGAATGTGATAGGAAAGACAAGAACAAAGTTTTTGAGAAGTAGGTTGATCTTATTTTGTAACTAAACTGCATTTTATGTCCTTCTGAGAATGGCAATTATTTTTCCTCTTTGCATTTTATATAAAACTAAAAGACTTAGTTGTAAGTAAATGTCAGACATGGGAATATGGAAAAGTCACATTTATCTTTCACTCCATTAATCTCAACAGCTCTGTTGAAGACAGTCTGACAACTGTATTATCTTACATTGACATAGAAAAAAACCCAAAAGATGAGTAACACTTTGATCATGTGGAAATAGCACTACAGGCAAGAGCAAAGCCATACGCAACCTTTGTTTTGAATTTTGATCATGAAGTATTGGTAAACTGATTGTTAAATTCTCTTGTGGTTGCTTCATTATGGTATTTTTTAAGTACCTATTTTTAAGACATTTGTTTGTTAAGTCTGGCTATGTAGACAAGCCCCTCCAAGACACTTTGATTTGTTTGTCCATACTATACAGTACAGTTTAAAAACAATTAAATATTTCAAGCTGAAGAGTAACAAAGTCACTGCTTTACATAAATTACTAGTTATACATAATGTAACACTAACACCAAGTGAAACACTTAAGTAAATTTCAGTTGTAAAATGGAATCCCAACTTTACTATATTAATTCTTCGCTATACCTATTTGTTTTTAAACCAGTGCTACATAAGGTAACTAAGCTATCAGCAATAAACTGACAAGTATATTTTCTGCATATTTAAACAATAACAAGTTGTTATAAAGACTGCGTAAGCAGTCAACCAAATATTGTAATAAACAGGCATGGGTAAGTTAACACACACATACATAAAAATATGACCTGTCCCAATGTTAAATTTCTACAAGAGTTCATTGCTGTCACCAGGTTTGGTGGTACTGCAAGTTTTGTTCCAGCAACTACAGCCCATGAGATAAAATATCAAATGCCAACATAACACCAGTCAATGCACATTACAGTAAATAATACACATTTAGAAATGAGATTGTCCACTTTCACCTGATTGTTTAATTGTGTTCTCACTTCTGAAGTTCCAAGTGACATTCATTCTTCAAAGCCTTCCTTAATTTCTAGTGCAAAGATATTGCTATAAGACTGATTTAGTGCACAATAAAAGTTTTCACCAATGTAAATGATAAATGATATAGTAAAGGATAGAATTAGCACAAGTACTTAACCATAAGAAGGACTCAAACAGTTTATTGATAGTCAAAGCCCAAATTTATATCCAGAATAAGTATTTAGTACTGCCTAGTTACAGTCACCCAGCATAACTCATTGACATTAAAAGTTAAAGATATGCTGCCCTCTGACATACTAATTGGCCAATATATGTTACTTAACATTGAGAAGCTGAGCTCAGGAAATGATGCGTATACTAACTGCCAATGACCTGACGTCTAAAAATTTTTACTATGCTGTAATTCCCCCTCTCTCCATTAGAACTTATAAGAAATTTTAATTTGACTGATTAGTTGGTCTCAGCTGTAAAAGTTCACTGCAAAATTCTCAGTTTTAAAATATATTCCCCCCAAATTACAATAATCAGTTCATATAAAGGTTAAAGGACACAGACAACTTGAAAATAATATTTTTAAGTAAATGTATTTGTTTTTCACTATTTTCAAAGTGAAAAAACTGTGCTTAGGTTTCAAATATGGATACTGTTAGTTCATCATTTAGCTTTTCTTCAGCTGGGAAAGTGTAACTTATTATCATCAGCTTCACTTAGATTTAAGTCTTTTTTATGGTTGGGTTTTCAGCACCACAAACAAAGGAGGACAATTTTAATGTAGTTGCTTCTACTGGAGATTAAAAAAAAATTATGAAAATATCTCCATCAGACTTTTTGGGAGGGAGGGGAAGCAGTATCTAAAAAAAATCTACAATTTGGGTAACATTTCAGTTGGCAGCAGTTCTGTAAAACGATTTTAAAAAAGCCATACCTCGCCTTTATTCTGAGAAGTACTGGAACACTTTAAATGCATTGTAATACTACTTGACTATACAAGACCAAATCCTGTCTTCATACAGGCATGCATAATTCACACTGACATCAATGGGAATTGTACACATCTTTGAAGGCAGGGTTTGACCTTAAATGTTTATGACAGAACGATTGTCAAATTCAATATCAGGCTATTTCTACTATATAGCTCTAGGAAGGCTGACTGAGAGTTTAAAAAGTCTAACTGATATTTATTGTAATGGATTTTAAGTCAGGTTCCACTGCCATCCTTGAAATTCCTTCCATAGAATCCAATCACTACAGTACAAGTATAGGAGGTATTTTCTTTCTGCCTCAAATGATGGGGTTTTATTTGTCCAACAAGGCACAAATTCTCCTCAGTCTGCTCCCTCCTCCAATACCCTTCTATTGTATCAATAACCCACACAAAGTAAAAGTGGAGAAGACAAAATTAAGATGCTGCCTTGACTCTAAAAGGAAATTATTTTAGGACAGATAAAACAGTCTCTGACAAACATAGAGCCAAATGCCTGCATACTTTCTGGGTAGGCACTATCACCTACATGTTCACTACAGAGTGAACCCAGGCTTCTACTCAAGTTTCATCCTAGCCTCACCTGCCATTGCACAGAGAACCATCTGACCTAGGGTTAACACTTTACATTTGGACCAGTTTACTCAGCTGAGGCATCAGTTATAGCCCTAACTTCTCCTAAGCTCAGGCTGAAACTCAGCTACCATATTTACATGAATCCAAGATGACTTTGACTTTAAGATGACCCCCCAATAATTAGATTTTAGACATGGAAAATTATAAATTTGTTATAATTTTCCATGTCTAGAATCTAATTGTTGAAGGGTCCCCCACACTGCTGCAGCAGGAAAAATAGTGGGAAGGGGCAGGAAAGCAGTGGCAGGGCAGGTGATAGGGAGGATACCGGGGTGGGGACAAGTACTCCCTCTACCACTTACCTCCCCACACTTATCCACCCTAGTATTTGTCACCCCACCATCTGTCCTTTCCCAGTGCTTGCCCTCCCCACTCTGCCTGGGAGCAAGCACTAAACGAAGAAACCTGTGCACCGTTGCTGCTGTCCCCAGCTGAGCTGGGCTCCCCACAAAGCTGCTCCCTGCAGCAAGAAGCAGGAGCAGCTCTAGAGATAGCCTGCATCAGACAGCCAGAGATAACAGTAGCAGCGTGCAGGTTCCTCCTTCCAGTAACTGTGCCTCACCAGTGGAGAACATGAAGTGATGGGGGTGGGAGGGGTAAAAGAGTGGAGCTGGGCCTGGAACAAGTGCTGGAAGGAGGAACCTATGAGCCACTGCTCATGTCCCTGGCAGAGCCAAGTTCCCTGCACAGCTGCTCCTTGCAGCACAATGAAGGAGCAGCTTCACCTGTACCTGGATCAGCTGAGGACACCACTGCTTGCTGCAGCTGCTGGCTGGAGTGGTCCCATACTCAATTCTAAGATGAGACGTTTCCCCCATGTTGAATGGGAAAATAAACCTCATTTTGGAATCAAGCAAATACAGTACTTAACAGTGGGGAAAACAGCAAAATCTTTTGAGTATTGATGGTCCTCCAATGCCCCAACCACAATCCCCCGCTTCTGCCCCAAAGCCAGACAAGTTCTTCTAAAATTGATACAACTAACTAGGAAAGAATCCTAGAGTATCTCAGCACCAAGAACCATGAAATAAAACCCCAGACACACACAGACATCCCAAAACCCAGACATATTGCAGAACCGGTGAGAAGGCACTAACATAAATAAGGCTTTGCAATGGAGATGCTCAAACCTATATGTCACTCAACTCACTCATCTGCAAACTACAGACATACAAGGTACAATCTGACACGTCTTTACCAAACTCATTTTAGCCACAAAGTGATTTTGAACTCCAAGGCCTGGGAGTTTAACTCTGCAGAGTTAAAAAAAACCCAACCCAAAACATAGAGACCCTGTTTTAATACTACTACCTATTTCCTAAATGACCTGAATGACTCTTAGTTCATTCCAGTCTCAAAATCATCAAATTTAGCCACATCACTAAAAGCAAACATACCAGAGGGAGTCTATTTTCCCTTTGACATGGAAGAATAACTGCTACCCAGACATGACTTAGGACCCCTGGAATCCCACTGCCCATTGCTCCAGTGGCCGTCACACTTCTGAGAGTAACATCTTTTAAAGCAGCACACCTCCGTTTCTACTCCTCATTGTACTTTCTCAACAATAAGAACAGGAGCATGAAGCTGTTCATTTCTGAGGCTGGACTTTGTCCAGGGAAAACGAGCACAGATCATATTAAAGGAGCTTTCCCGAATTTCCAAAATGTTTTAACTTTAGGAGTAAAGCAGCTCTGTGGTAAGATTTCACTTAAACAGGAAAGCATTTTTACAATGGGGCCTGCACTAGCATAGTTACAGGAGTCCAACTACACTGGCGCAGATGGTGAGAGGTTCTAAAAAATGCCAATACAGACTATTCATATTTAATTGCACTGATAACCAAAAGGAATTCAAGGATAAAACTACCTTAGAATTGTATAACCACAATATATACATGAGGTGTTGGGCGGAAGGAGGTCCACTGACTGACGGGGAAGACACTGAATTGAAACCTTGCCTAAGCTAGAAATACAGAAAGGAAGCAATACAGAAGTACAGACATGCACATAAATGCAGAAAGGAAGAAATCCTGACTAATTGTCTTCATAGTATAGTTTAAGAAATCAGCTAGCACAATTCCTTTTTACTTCCATCATCTAAAATGCTTGTATACTGTGTTTTTATGATGTGTGTGTGATTGCATAGTCTTTGTTGGGCTCTGTAGTGTTAATGCAATACATTCACAGATGTAAATCAAGTGTCATTAACTCTGGCTTTTTGAGGTAAAATAAATAAATAAATAAAAGTATAGAACGTTAAAGACAGAAATGCTTCCGCATACAGCTTTAACCTTACTCGCTTGTTGCATGAGAGAAAGACACTTTGTTTTCCCGCCTCTACCTGCATCAGATTTGGCATGGACTTAAGCTTAGTAGGTTTTGATACTGACCTTATGTGATAGAGCTGTCAGGCAAATAAAACAAAAAGCGTAATTCCAGTATAGTAGCAATACATGTTGCCTTTATGAGGAATTAAAAGGGGCACGGAGGCCGAAACACAACAGCCTACTCTTTTAATAGTGGTTAGTAATTCAGATGTAAAAACTCACTAAATACAATCTGGGTCCACTGGCTCTGTACGAGTCATTGCCAGCCTTGACTCTGTCGGACAGGAACAACATAGAAACAAGCTAATTTTATGCTGACAGATCTTCTAACTTGTTTCCCAGACCCTCCATTTGGATCAGAATCATTTTAAACCTTTTTGTCAAGCCCCTCTGTTCACAGTCCACACTAATACAGAAAAGGTTCAAGAGGAACAATAGCATGACATGAAGCTGCCACAAGTAGAAATATAGTATGAAATCTTTGAAGGACTAAAGGAAAACAAACTATGTTTGCTTAATAAAAAGATATGCCAGTTTTTGAAATAAATAACATGAAAGAGTTTTACTCTGCATAATGAGTTTCAGCACTAACCATAAAAAAGTGAGAAAAACATGGCTAGCTAACACTTGCAACCATGACATGCATTTGTGACTGAAAAGAGAATATTGCACTAAAAGAGGAATCCTGCAGGTTTTAGCTTTTCCTTCACTGACTTGGAAAATTAACTAGCCATTTTTTATATGCAGTAGCAAACCTGGCCTGCTCCACATCTCTACAAGTTGATAAAACTTTGTCAATGAACCTGTATTCCATTTCCAGGCCAAGAGAGTCCTGTGTAGGGGCACGTTTTAGTCGTTTGGTTTCTTGGGTATAGCCTTGTTTGCTGGAATCATGCAAACCATCAACATCCATGGCTTGAGTAACATGACTGACCACAGTAATGGGGTGGGAATTACTTAGAGTTCCATCGCTGCTGTCTACTGATGTCAACCATACATTTGGAAGAAGAAGTTTGTTGTTTAAATGGTGCTGAAGGTAGAACACATGCCGTCTTCAAACAGGAAGGAGAGAAAAATAAATAATATTTAAAAAGTCATATGCTTCAAGTCAAGTTGCTGCCAACAGCAAATGATGTTAGAATTCAGTGAGTACCCCCCAGCCAGCCTGACTACAAAAATCATGTTATTTTGTGGACACGAAAAAAGTTGACTTTCAGTTTTGCAGTGGGTTATGAAGCTTTTCACTTCTCTGTAACTGATCTGAATATTACCATCTGACAGCTGGTATTTCACACGTTGTCAGATGAGTGGGTGGTTTTACTTTACTTCTCAGTGATGCAGACACCAGTGCACTAAAGTCACCATCGCAACTGGCATTCTAAATGACAGTTTCAGCAGTGGTGTCAAGCACTAAGAAGTCAGACTTTGGTGTGGAAACACTGCACAGACAACGAAGGGAATTGCAATTTGTGTGGTGAACACTGTACCTGTTCCAAGGCTGTACAGAAGACTTTCATCTACTGGACTGTTAATCTGGAACCTTCACAAAGACCAAGAATCACTCACTAATGCTCGCTGCTGTTTGCATATGTAAAGCAGTGATCAAAAACTGTTTTGTGATCTTGTCTACAGATGATATGGGCCTATTCAGCTCGCAGCTATAGAGCTGGACTCTTTATTAGCTCAAGCTGTAGATACTCATATTGTCAGCTCCCTAGGCCCTCAGTTCACACTCTGCAGCAGCCAAGCTGCAGCCTGTCATATCACCAAGCAGAGATTTGATTCAGACAAGCAACTACTGCACATATGCAGTAACATTTTTTCCCAATTATTTTTCACATTTTCAGGACAAGATGAAAGTGATCTCTCTTCAATGAATTGATGGATGACGGTTAATATTTAATGTTTGTTTCCCGCCCCCCAAAATTATTTAATACCCATTAAAAGTGCCAGATTATCATCAATAGCATGTTGTTCCCTATCCTACCCTACATACACAATTCAAACCTCATCTGTTTTCATTTTGTACTTGAGTTTTTAATGCAGTGGTTCTCAGTCTTTTTAGACTCAAGGCACTCCTGAATAGACTTGAGACACACCTTGGAAAATGCCAGCTCTTAATTTTCACTCTTTTTTACCTACAGAAAAACGACAGAGCAGATTTTTCTGTTGCAAAGATCTCAGAGAAGACCAGAACTATGAATTTCTATTTGAAATGATTCACAAGATAAACCAAGAGATGTTTCTAAACGTAACAATACTAATATTGTGCAGCACCCCACGGTATCTGTGAAAGAATCTTAAGGCACCCCAGAGTGCCATGGCACCTTGGTTGCGCATCTCTGTTTTAATGCAAGCAGTGCCTCCACTCCATCCTTTCCCCCTCCCCTCAGGTAACAAAAGTATTTTATTTATGGAGAAGATAAAAAAAGTGTTGGGCATTTTTTGCTAGCAACAAGTTCAGTCTCACATCAGCCATCCCACCTTTTATCCAGTCAGGGACCTACATACAGCTGGCAATTTGGAGGTTTTATGTAATTAATCCATCTTTTGTCTTTCAAATGTGAGGAGCAAGATGACTGATTAGCAGCCAAGCTTTATCCTGCTAAAACCATTCTCTGGAGGGTCACAGAGTTTGTTTCAACATGGTATTGATGGCCAATCAATTTTTTCATTTATTATCTCTAACATATGTGCAGGTCTAAACTAAAGGCTCTGCATAAAGCAGAACATGTCTTTTACTCAGCTGTACCTCTAGCAATTATAACTAGATTTCCCTTTGATCTGTGTTTCAAAACAAATCAACATATCAAACAAACTTTTCTGAGTGTCCTCTTACCTGTGACACCACAATGTTTCATGCCCTGGGTAGGTATCAATAAGATCAGTGCAGAGTTCCAATTCTTCCTTTAAAAGTTGGGAGAGATCTACCCTTTGTTCTTCTGTACATGTGGCTTCTGCCACTTCATTTTCTTCATCCTCCGGGAGACTGGAGCTTTGTTGGTTTACTAGTTGATTTTGCACCAGTACAGTATTGTCAGCCACAGTTCTGCCAGTCAAGGACTTTATTAAGAACTGGCGGTAATGGAATCCACTGTGGTCCGAAACATGCATGGATACCCAGTATTTAGTTGAAGAAAGTTCATCGAGAAGAATCTGAAACAAAAAACAAGAAGCAGTAGAATAATCCATATAAAAAAGGATTTTTCCTGTATCAACATTTACTCCTCTTAATAGGTCTCTTAAAACTTTTGGCCAGTTTTTAGTCACCACTGCTGCACTGATCATTTTTAAAGAAAAAAGAGCATGAAATAATCTATTTAAATATTTTTACCAAAACGTATGCCTACCTCATTAATACAGATTTTCCACCTTAGAACACGTATTCAACACTTTTTATCTTACAACAGATTTAAATGGTATTGTTACATACAAGACAAGTATATATTTGGAGACCAGATTATTGAACCTAAGAATTCTGATATGCTTATTCACCATTTTGCCCTGAGGGATATCCAGGGATTTCTGCACAAAACAGCTTTCATATCTCCCACCTTTTAAAAAGGAAGAGGCATCAGAAGCTTTTCTTCAAGGTTCTAAAGCACCATCCTTAAAGGGATTTGGCACAGAGCTAAAATCACATGGGGCTTAAAGCAGGACTGAGTAATAACTTGAAAAAAATCCAGAGAACAGTGGAGGAAAAAAGAAAAAAAAAAAATCTACCTGGTTCAGGAGACTGGCAAATAACTAACCATTGCTTTCCAAACAAATCCCTCTGCAGGATGAATAACATCATAAGAATTGCATTCATTTTGTGTCCATCTTTTAGAATTATGATAGATGTGAACTGTTTGGACAAGCACACAAGAACATTGAAAAACTAGCTTTATTTAGCCTGACAAAGAAGAGTAAGAAGCGACTTGAATAGGGTACTCAAAACTATGAAGGATATTGTAAGGAATGACAAGCTCTTCCTTTCTATTATGTTGCCACATGGTAGAAGGACACCGAATCATTCAGTGAAGTGAATGTGCAGTAAATTTAGAACAAATAAAATACAAAACGGGAATGTCATTTAATTCAGTATACAGTGACCCTCTGGTACTGTACTGACGAGACAGATCTCAGAAGCAGAGACTGAGATCAGTGAGACTTCTACTGCTTCTCAGTGGGAGACAGTCAAACTAAAGCAGGGTCTGGGAAGTGAAAATTTAGATTCCTGAACACAGAGGCTGGTTTCCCTTCACATCTTACTTGGGGACATAACATTCTGAATCAGAAGAGGGGCAGTCTGAATAGCAGATCTTAAAAACAGGTCCTAACCAAAAGCCTCCTGCCACATAAACAATGAGCATGTTATCCAGCAACTTTCACTATACTTTAAAAGGAAAGCCAAAGCAAAGCATGGGATGTGAATGATTCTTCAAGAAGATAGAAACATGATTTGAACACTTGCAGTTGATGGCTATCCAAAATTTATTACACAAGCTACTTTGCAAAAAGCAAGATACACTATGCAGGGAAGCAATGGTTGAATTAATTTGATATATTGAGCTTTGGCTATTGTGTTCCTTAAAAGGGATTTAAAAATAATTTACATCTTTTTACCAGGAAGGACTTATAACCAGTAAAAATTTTTTGACATTTTAGGACTTAGAACACTAAGAAAACCAAGTAATATGTTCTTTACTGCAGAATTGTTATTTAAAGCAGCCAACCATTGAACTCCTTGCAAGTCTTTCTAAATTAATTGACGTAAATATTTAGAACACTGCCTGCAGCTAATATATTTCCCAACGCCAATACTGATGTGTTTTCTGTTAAGAGACCCAATTTATTTTGAAAACTTCTGAACACTAAATTTGATTTTTAGAGAGACTGGTGCGTCTGACTCTTGGATAGTGCTTCTTCTTGCTTATTTCTGCCTAAAAATATGTCTAGTTCTAAGTGATGCATTTCTTTAGAGGATTTAATCTTTTCCCCATATTATTCCTAATATGGAAATTTAAAAACCTCTAACGTCAATGGTACCCATCCATCCATTTCCTTATGGTCCCTGCTGCCAGGACTGCTTATGCATTTTATCCAATGACTCTAATGAAAAAAGCAAAACCTGCTGGAAGCAGGGACCAGAACCAAAGAACTCTCATAATTGGGCTAGAGACATAGTTTCTCTCCTGTTGCCATGGATTTTCTATTCTTTTCTACACAGTAAACCAGCTTAAACAGCAAACCCAGAGGATGCCCCAGTTTCAGCCTAGCATACAGGCTAGTACATTCTGCTGGGAGATAGGAGATTTGAGTGTGAACCCCTTCAGTCTGAGGTCACCTCAATCAGTGTTTTAAAAGAAAAGAGTGAGCCAGTCACTGTAGACAAAAGAATAATTGAGAAACAGATTTTTGGCTGTGAATCTTAGTTTCTCACAGGTACCTAACTCAAGGTTGCACGTATGTGCCAAAGTTTGGGGCAGGATTTCAGGCGCTCTTCTCTTTATCATTTCCAGCTAGGAACAGGTGCCAGAACTGCTGACTATCAATCTTGTGCTTTAACCATGAGTCCAACTTCCCTCTCCCTGACAGATGTTATCCATAGGTTTTACAGTTTTACAATTTTGCTATGACAATGACAATCTCTAGAGCCATAAGAGAGAAATAGTTAGTTGTGTTAGTCTAAAGTCAGGCAGAAGGAAGACCAGGGCAGATGTTTCACAGCATCGGACAAAGTAGGCTGTTGCCTACGAAAGATTATGCCATTCCAAACCAGTTGTTTTCTAAGGTGCCACCTTGCCCTGTCTTCATATTTCAAACAGAAACACAATGTTTAAGCCATTGGAACCGCTGTAACACATGTTGCATTTGATGTGTATCATGAAAAAGTCAGAATCTGGTTTGTTTTGCCTTAGTTTTATCTACCCATCTTCCTCTTAAAAAACAAAGAGAGAGACCAACTATCATCTACTCCACTGCTGTCCAATTTCTAAGTGGCTGGGGGCTGCACTAGCAGGGGCTGTACACCCTGGGGGCCACACTGGGACTTTCCATGGGCGTCCTAAGTTAGACACCATGTGGGTGGCCTACGCTGTATGGGCCCCTCAGCTCCGTGGCTGCCGTATCTCCCAGCACTGCTGGCTAGACTGAGCTACACAGCATCTTGCACTCTGGGATGGGCAAGAAGTGGAAACTGGAGGCAGGAGGGGGAAGCTTGGAGACAGCAGCTGCTGCTGCAGCCTGAGCAATAGGAGGAGTGGTGGCCTAGTGGGAGACCACAGGCCACAGATTAACCTCTTGTGGGCCACATGCGGCTGCGAGTTGGACAGCCCTGATCTAGTCTAACCTCCTGGATAGCACAGGCCATAGGAATTTGTTTGACTTACAGCATATCTTTTGAAAAAACAGGTTTATAAAGTTCCACTAAATCACTAGATCTTTTATGAAAAGAGACTGCCTCTGAGTTTTATAGACTCTACAGAAGTGGAAGACGCTTGCTACTTGAGAGAGATGATGTTGGAAGAATCCAAGCAATAGCATAATGCTATACAAAGTGTTTTGTTCACCAACCTGTTCCCTATGAACCCCAGCATTATTTTTTTACCTGATAGTCAAGCATGGCAAATAGATGTGCGCGCAATACATTAAGTATTCCAACTCCAATATTCAACATATCCTCTACCATTCTAATGTAAGAGATGTACTATTCATTTTAGGGGGGTCACTGCCACCCTGCCCGCATGAGGTATGGCCTTGCTCCCATGCAGCAGCAGTGGTGCCTGCCCGGCTGCTTGCCTGGTGCATCATGCTGCCTCGCCTCCCCACCACACTCTGACCTGGACTTCTGAACATGTGGCCAGGACCGGGCTATGGAATCCGAGAGTGAACTGGCCAAATCGGGATGTATGGTCACCCTATGTAGATAGGATCCTAGAGTAGTTGGCCATGTTAGTCTGAAATCAGCCAATAGGTAGGGCAAGGTGGCACCTTACAGACTAACTGGTATAGAGAGGCAGGAGCTTTCATTGGCAACAAACTACCTTATCAGATGTTATGAATTTACTGCCAGAAATAAAGGTTTTTATATAGAAGGTAAAAGGATGGGGCATGCGAGTGGTAGGGTGATGGGGGTGCCAGGATGCTAAGAGAGCTAAAAAGTAGGTTGATTAGATCAATTGAGATGAACAAGGCAGTTAACGCTTTGGGAGGCACTGGAGTTAACAGCTAGTCCAGGTATAAAGAATACATAGTCCCTTTTGACACCATGGTTAATACAATCAAGTCTGTGTATGATTTCTTTGCTCCCTGTTTCAAGTTCAAGTCTTGTTTTACTTATTTAAAGACAGCTACTCTGAGGCAAGTGATGGAATAGTAAAGTGTTCTGCCATGGGATTTTGTGCATTTCTGGCATTGATGTCAAAACAATGGTCATCCATTCTCTTACACTGGGATTGCCTCACCTGGCCTATGGTTGATGTTAGTAGGTTTTACTAGGCTACGGAAGAAGATTGTTGCCTATGGAAGCTCATGCCTCTATGAATTAAGGTACCACCCTGCCTTACCTTTTGCCTATACAGGATTCTAGTGATAGAGCAAGAGTCCCGAATGCATTGAACTAGAACCTGAAATGATCACAATGATCTTTTTCCTGAACAGAAACAAACAGATCCACCAGAGGACCAACACATACAGCCTAGAAGGTCACATCTTTTACAGGAATGAACTACTTCAAAAGTTAACCCATCTTACTGTGAGTCATACATACAGAAGTGATTTAAAAATCATAGAAATTAAGGGCTGAAAGGGACCTTGAAAGATCATCAAGTCCAATCCCCTCCTGCTTGGGGCAGGAATACTGCTGTGATCAAATGATCCCAGCAAGATGCATGTCCAGTTTCCTCTTGAAGACTTCCAGGGTTGGGGACTACACCACCTCCTTTTGAAGTCTATTCCAGATTCTGGTCACCCTTACCATAAAGAAGTTCTTTCTTACATCCAACCTGAAACCATCCTCTAAATTTATGGCCATTGCTGCTTGTCCTCCCCTGGGGCACTCTAGTGAACAGTTTTTCTCTCAGCTCCTGACATTCACACCTTACATACTTATAGACAGCCACTAAGTCCCCCCTCAGTCTTCTCTTCCCCAGGCTGAACAGTCCCAGATCCCTTACTCTTTCCTCAAAAAGGTTTGTCCTCCAGGCCCACAATCATTCTTGTGGACCTTCTCTAGACCCTTTCAAGATTCTTCATGTCCTTTTTGAAGTGCGATGCCCAGAACTGGACACAGTACTCCAACTGGGGTCTCACCCGTGCTGAGTAGGGAGGAAGTATCACTTCCTTAGCCTTGCATGTGACACATCAGCTAATGCATCCCAGCTTGCTATTAGCTCTGTTGACTACAGTGTTACATTGAAGGCTCATGTTCATCCTGTGATTAACTATAACTCCGAGGTCCCTTTTAGTCATCATGCTGGCCAGGACAACTCCTCCTAACCAACATTCAGGTTGCTGGTTACTTCTCCCCAAATGAAGCACTCTGCATTATCCTTATTGGACTGTAACTGGTTCCACTCTGCCCACCTTTTCAGCTTGCCCAGGTTCACTTGGATCTGCATCCTAACCCCGAGCATGACCACTTTTCCCATAACTTAGTATCATCTGTAAACTTGGCCAGCATGCTTTCCACATCCTCAGCTAAATCACTGATACAAATGTTGAACAGCACAGGGCCACCTCCTGCCAAGATGATACAGAACTGAAGAAGAAGAAGAAGAAGAAGAACTGAACCCTGAAGGACACCACTGGCCACCTCCTGCCAAGATGATACAGACCGGTCCACTAACACTAGTATGATAAAATATTTAAGACACGTAGTAGGATTCTTGGTCTTAGGTGTACTTCATAAGCAGGCTGAGATTTTTAGAATCCAATAACACATACCATTTTCATACCTCCATAAATAAGAATGAGGCTGTGTTTCTAATAAAATCTACACGAAGCATCAAACTCTCTCCTCTAATACTTCTTACACTCATTCAAAAACAAAGTCTGTCAGAATTAACTGAAATATATTTACATTTTAAAATTTTAAGAACGGTCTAGATCAAGAAAAAAATAGAAAAAAACCCCAGCTGGTCTTTAGGACAGTATAGTGTTATAAATATCCATATTTTAATAATAATAATTTTGAGCCAAATGTTTAAAAAGGACCTCAACTTAGTTGCAAAACTATGGGCATTAAAAGCTGTGTGGGATAAAGGACAACACAGAGTTCTATTTCCTTTTTAGTCGCAAAAAAAGGCAGCTCTGCATCAAAATATTATAAACATACATTCACAATATGTTATACAAATCTAAGCCCAAATGAGGATGCCAAATTAGATCAGTTTTAAAAAATAGTCCTTCATGTCTCAATTAAAAGAGAAAAAAAAGTCTTTCAGTCATGTTTCTTCATTTTGGCTTGTCTTTTCATTAAGTCTTTTCACATTGCTTAATTCTGTATCTGTTAAAATTACCGATTTTCTAATTCTGTCTATTTATGTTCCCCAGGTTACAGATATGCCCTGAGACCTTTCCCCCACTCCTCCTGGCTTCCCACCCAGCTTTAAAGCTTTCATACATCCAGCACCATATTGAATGCAGGGCAGCAATGATGCTGAAGTGCTGTATCAGCATTTGTTGCAAAGGATTCTGGAATCAGCATAAAGATCTTTCCTCAGGATTAAAAAGAGACCAATAGGGGAACTGGGAGGACTGCCAAGATGAGTAGAAAGCAAAGAGAATTGGGAGTTTCAGAACATAAATTTGAAAAAAAAAATCTTTGACAGGGAGGCAGTTACTACGTAACCTGCATTTCTTTTGCCACTCTAATTATTTGTGAACTGCCATTGTTCAATGCAATTCACGGAGCTCTCTGTGAATAGGAACCCCAAACCCAGGAGAGTGAATTTCATTTGGATCCAACAAGAACAGGTTGTGTCAAGCTGTATCTTCCCTCTGCCTTTATATATATTTTTATAAAGTTGTAAAAGGAGAACTGCAACTGAAAAAACTTGTGAGATGGTGCTCTGTCCTTCAAACAACCGCTACCTATTAAAGGAGGGAATGGTGATGCTCCATTTAGCTGCACCAAAATAAAAAGCACACCAAGCAAGAGTTTGTGTGAGAATCCCTGATTCTTAAGTCTCTATCCTTTTCATAATCACCACACCATCCACAACCTGCCATTCTTTTGCATTTTTCACATTTACTCTTTATTTGGAAGTTAAATGAGACAGGTAGCCAGACTGTAGGATTATATAATATGTGGACTATGACATACTTTTCAGGTTATTATTGAACTCATACAGATTAAAAACAATGTTTTTGGTGACAAATTAGAACATGAAACATTAGAAGCATGAGGGCCAGCCAACCCACTCCCCACAACCCCCCCCCACAAAAACCCACACAGATGGGGTGACAAATGGTCGTATTCACGGCTGAAATAATGAAGAGCCAGATATAGCTACCAAGAAAGGTCACTGTCAGCAAAATAAAGGAAACCGTCTCACTTCACAGCTGAGAAAACTACAGCATAAGTAGTAATTAGAAAAATGTCCTTTTTAATTTTAGATCACATCATGTCACCTTGCTGGAGGTCCTAAGTACGTTCTGTTATAGGCTGTACCATATAAATATGCTTGAGGGGCAACAAGAAGATTTTCAAAAGACATCTCTGTGGAAGCTGAAGAGGCACACTAAAGGCCAGTTAGTCAGTTCTGCCTTTTTGATATGACAATTCATTACACTCAGCATAAACTCTGCTGAAGGGTGCCCTTGGATCTTGTAACCATTTTCATAAGCACCACTTTACAATTTCTAAATTGCCTGGTGTCTTTATCCTATTTGAGTCCTTCATGCACATTCTGACAGCTCAAGATGACAGAGTACAAGAAGCAAAACAAAAAAAGGAACATTACAGTACTGGAATGACGTGCCATGTAGCATCTTTTTATTTTAATGGACTCTCAAACTTTATGCCTGCACATAATTTATGCTCAGTGCTCATTTCTGCTTTCTCCCACACTCTCATCTACCCTCTACTGGTTCATTAAATACTGAGAGATGCATGGTACTTTGGTAGGAAAATGCCAGAACTACCTTCATCACTACAATGCTTTAGACATTAGCTATGTATGCCACTCCATGCTGGTGATTATTCACTTCTCCCTCCATGATGTGCGCTTTGACAATCTGCATTTAAAATACAGATATTTAGCTTCAGCAGTGTATTTGTCATTATACTGTACCTTGACATTGAGCTTTCCCAAGTGCTGTAAAACCCAGATACGATGGGACCAGGCATTGTAGTTGCTTGGATATCTCCCAGCGGCTTCGCAGCAGACATCCATTTCCTCCTGCACTAGCCGCTGAATCCTTTCTGTAGGCACTGTTCCCATGTTCCCTTTATTCACAAGAGTGGGCAAGGAGTTTTCCTGAATTAGTTGTTGCAGCACCCATCGTCTGGTTAAATGGTGCACACGGTTAATAATGCAATTTTAAGAGGAAAACTCAAGAAACAAAATACTTAAGGCGACTAAGTCATATTTAAGTTTTCACCTGAATTAACATGAAACTGTAAGGTTGGAAAAGAAACACATGAAATAGAACACTTGTGAGATATTCAGATGCCAAAAGCCATCAGTTTATGGAAATATTTCACAGTATCTGATCCAGCTCTAGACTAGTTAATGTACTTGTTTCTAATTACCAGTCATATCTACTGTCGGATAACTGAGAAAACAAACTGAAAAAAAAATGAATCTGAAAACAAAAGCATTCTGCAAAACGATGTTTAAAATTTTTTTGAAGAACCCCTTTTTGAAAAGGCTTACATTATACTGACCTGAGGTTTTCATGCTGAAAAAAGTTTTACAGTAAAATTAGTTTTTTTGCTTAGAAACCCTGTGTGAATCTACTCATATTGGCTGACTTGAGTAACAAAAGAAAAAATAGTTTATTGTGTGTTGCACCTGTCAGTACAGCTAAAAGCAAACGAAAGGGAGTCTATTCCTTTCTGTGTATCACTGGTAGATCACTTTATTCATTTCACTGGGAGTGTCACTGGGAGTCCCAACTGTGTGTCTACTTTTTTGTGCTCCTGGGTGCATGTTTGAGATGGGAGGGAATGCAGCTGAGGAGGAGGGAGCGTGCTGGTGTCCGCCTCTCCAAGTTGGCAGATGGCAGCCACGCAATTGGGATTTGAGGAATTTTATGCCCCATTCGCCGAATCATGTGCTTGCATGTGTGGGGCATGGCAGATCATGTGATTTGAGGAGCAGACCACAAAATTCTCCAGCCTGATTGTGTGACTGCCTTAACGTCTGCCAGCAGCCTTAGAAAAACATCCTTTTTGTTACTAAGCTAGACATATCTGACATGGAAACACCAAGAAAAGCAAGGTAATTCCAAGTGATTTATTTTATTTTAATACTGTAACAGGTGCTCTTAATCTCTGTTAATTAAGTACAGCTGAAGGACAGCAGGGCCCCAAGCCATAAAGCTGCAAAAGAAACAGGTGGACGCAGAGCTCCAGGCAGGTAGTTAGGAGCTGCTGCAACAGGGCCCACTGGGCAGCTGCTGCTGATGAAGAGTAACTCCTGTGGCTGGTTTTGAGCATCAGAAATCATGTGACCACAAGGGGGTGGATGCTGGTTCCTAGGCTGAGAAACTCCTTCTGGCCCATATCTTGGGGGGGATCCAATTAGGCCTAATAAGGTCTTAGATCAGCTTGGAAATAGAATGAACCTGGGAGGCCAGGAGGCAGCTGTTGCTGGGGTTCATTACAGTGAGTCCAGATTAGGCTGGACTGGCTGTCTGATTAGAAGAATGGCAGAGAAAAGCAGCTAAACTGCTGCAGCAACTGAGAGTAGCCTCCTAAATGATAATGACACATAGCAGCAAAGTTTTGATAGTGGGAGGTAGCAGAGAGGCTGGAGTGCATAGCAGGTAGGGCCAACCACCAGGGGACATTAGACTCGGCATCATAGTGCTAAACCTGCTGCAGTACTTATTTGTTAATGTATAACAGCATTTTACAAGTCTCCGCTTCAAATGTGCAATGGCTACATTGATCATAACCCTGTTAATATGTAGGAGTTTCTTATCAGATACTTCCTTAATAAAAAACTTTTGAACTAACAGATCTGTGGATAAGAACCTGCAAGTTAATAACCAACAGGTAAAAAATGTAATTTAACATCCTTTTGTATACTTCATCCTGGCTCACTTCCATTTCAAATGCCACCAACACTACCCATCAGCTTGCAGAAAAGTAATCTTTGAAAAGGCTCTACAACGTACAAATTAGCCGTTCAAAAAAGGTCAATCATAAAATTACAGAAATGTCTGAAAGTGGTGAGGTGAAATTATCATCTTGAGGTCCAATTAGTTGCATAAAGAATGGTTTCAAGGTCTGCACTGGCTCCTGACACTTCCTGCCCACTTCCTTTCTTATTTTACAAGAACATTCTTAATTGTTCCTATGTTTCAGCTTCACTGCGTCTCTCTTCTTTGTTATACTGTGCAAGAATTTCTTTGACATGAAGGAAAATAATGCAATTAACTAACCATAAACTCACTATACATAAAATAAACTCTTTCAGTAATGGATGTTACTTCAAAAAAATAGTAGATAGGTAAAATTCCTAAGTGTGATTTTTAAATGAAGACTGAGAACAAACATATATTTACAACTTTGCATATGATAGAACATTTATTGTCCCTAAAACAGGATTCCAAGACCAGCCACAATCTTTGATTTTAGAGAAGGATTCAATGAGGCAAATGTAGTATCTTTGAAGACTTAAATTTTGCTCTGAAAATCGCTTAGACATTAAAGCCAAACATAGGTTTCTGGTGCTCACATGTTTGCACAGGACAGAATGTCAGAAGTGGGACAAAATACTACCAAGGCCCAAAATATGAAAACATTAAAAAATAAGTTTATGTGGGAACTGAAATGTTTAGAAAATCCATTGCTTTAGCAAACTACAAATGACTGATTTCTGCTTCTGATCCTTTATTTTTGGGTAAATAATATTTAGCAGCAACTATGAGGGGATAACACATTTGCAATTTAGATAACACAGAAATGTGGGGGGCAGAAAAATGTGTTCAGTTTTATAGTTTCCATAACAGTAAATCCTAGTTGATATTTTGGTTTTTCTCTGGAAACAGAAAATCCAACTGGCTACTTTAAAAAAGTTTAAAAGACTTTAAAATGTTCTACTTGTTTATTGCTGAAATATTAATTCAGAGTGTTTTTGCTGTGCAAATAACTCATTTGAAAAAAAAGAAGCATCTCTTTCATTTGCTATTTTACAGCACAGGAGCAAATTCTAATCAACATTACTTAGAACCCTACGAACATGGTACTGGAAGGGACCTCATGAGGTCCCCTAGTCCAGTCCCCTGCTCAAGGCAAAATGAGCCCTGACTAAACCATCCCAGCCAAATGTTAATTTAACCTGGTCCTGAAAATTTCCTTGGATGGGGATTCCACAAGTTGTCTAAGCAGCCTGTTCCAATGCTTGACCACCCTCCCAGTCAGAAAGTTCTTTCTAGTCTCCATCCTAAATTTCCTCTGCTTCAGTCTGAGGCCTTTACTCCTACTCTTGTCCCCTACAACCAGAAAGAAAAGCCTATTTCCATTCTCTGTAATTGCCCTGCAGGTATTTGGAGACTACTATCAAATCCCTGTCTCAGCCTTCTTTTCCCTAGACTAAATTACCCTAGTTCTTTCAGCCTTTTCTCATAAGTCATGCTATCCAGAGGCTTGTAATCATGTTTGTTACTCTCTGCTGGACTCTTTCCAATCTGCCCACTTGAAGTATAGGGCCCAAAACTGGACACAATATTCCAGATAAGACTTCACCAGTGCTGAATAAAGCAAAAGAATCACTTCCCTTGATTTGCAAGCAACATTCCTACTAATACAACCAAGTATGCTTTTGGGGGGTTTTTGCAACAAGAGCACACTGTTGGTTCATAATCAGTTTATAATTCACTGTAACCCCTAGGTCCTTCTCTGCAGTACCACTGCCTAGCCAGTCATTCCCAGTCTATATTCATGCATGCAATTATTCCATTCCAAGTGCAAGATTTTGCACTTTTCTTTGTTGAATTTCATTTGATTGATTACAGACCATTTCTCCAGTTGACCCAAGTCATTCTGGGTCAACTGGAGAAATGACCCTACCTACCTACCCTACCTACCTGTCTGCAATTCCACCCAAGTTGGAGATACCTGCAAATTTGTTAAACATGCACTCAATCTCATTGTCCAAATCATTAATGCAGATGTTAAGCAATACCGGACCCAGGACAGACCACTGGAGCAAAGGAATAAATAGTGGAGGAACATCTTGTTTTTGTGCAATAGATATATACATTAATATTCAGCTGAATGGAACTGGAACAATATGACAAAGAAGTGTAGCGTAACACAATGAAAACTGTATTGGTATTTTGAATATCACTGCACGTGACTTCTACAAAGCATCCAAAAGGGTAAGGAATTGATGGTAGAACATCAAATGTTTTAATAGGATCTCTGAATCTAATAGTTTTGCTGGACATAAGAAATTATGACGATCTAGATCACTGAATTCTGCCACTCCACACTTCAAGTTTTCTTGCACCTTCCTGTGCAATTTGGTATTGAGCATGGTCTAAAACAGTGCACTGGACTTCATGGAGCAGTGGTCTGATCTAGAATGGCACTTCTCATATGCCCATTTCTCAAAAACTCTTTAAAGTACGGCCAGGAAGATGACACTGTTAGTTCCAAAGGGTATGGCTACTCTCAGATAAAAGTTACCACTCATGGTTTTCACTAGTGGTTGGCAGAGTAACAGTTCACAAATGTTGCTGTTTCACTAATGCACAGCAGAATACGCTCAAACAGATGGTAATTTTAACGATGTTTCAGGACAAGCTAGTGCAAAATGAGCAAGAGTTGTTATTTTTAAAGAATGTTTGTTATTGATCAACACAGTGACATGACAAGTATCTAATATATCACATGAAGCAATTAATATTCTAGTTTTGGTTAATATGAATGAAATTGGGTTTGGCAGCACTAAATCATGGCTTATGCAAATTATCTGTCTCCTCTTCATTATTTTTACAAGTCCTTTTCATTAAATATAATGTGGCTACTTAAAGCAACGTAATCAGATGTTGCAAATAATGCAATGTAACATTAAAGAGTTAAAAACCATCATGGACTATATAAAGAAAATTACCAGGAAGGATGCAGGTGCATATAAACACCCACAAATTTCATTTTTACTACATAGAATTTCAAAGTCCAAAGACCTATAAAACCCTGTCTAATAAGAATATCCATGTATCTTATAACTCTGATGACATCATAAACTACCTGAGCTTTACTTTTACTGTTTACAGTGTTACCCTGACCAGAATTTTTTCATGGACTACTTGAATGTATGGCAGACTGGCTGTTATATCTGTGAACAGTAGAACAGTGACATTCTGCAAAATATCATTGTTGACAGTCTTGGAAAATCATTTATAGGAAAATATGTTCTTATGCAAAATCTTAAAAAAATATATACACATTGAGAACTTTTTGCAGTTGAGGAATGTATCAATATTTTACATGGCTGTTCTATAGATAATTTATATTTCACTTGTCATAGCAAACTTTCCACTAAGACGAGAATAGAAGTTGGTATATCTGATTTATTCTTTTGGTTGCCTTTTCCAAGTGAATTTGTTATTTTATTACTCAGTAACAGAGACTTACTGCCATTGAATAATCTTACTGATGGTGAAAATAAGATTGTTACACAAAAAGAAACTAAAGAAGGAATATAAACCTACATACAATTAAAGTTACAAGTTATCCTAATTCTTACTCTATCCTATCTTTCTGGCAGGTCTGCAAAACAAAACTAGTACTTAAAAAAGTAAAAAATTTGAAAATACATCATTTGATGGCAATTTTCAAGCTGCTTTTGGGTGCTGCTGTAAATACACAATTTGGGGAAATTATACACAACTATGGCTATATTACAAACACCTACAACATAAAGAGAAGCATATTATTTAAATAGCATGCCCAAAACATGGTAAAGAGGATTCTTTTCAAAGCCAAAGCTGTAAATTTTACTGTAGATGGCTTGGAGATTTCCTATTTCCAAATGCCCACAATCATCTACACCACTTTCCCTAATGAAGAGAAACTGGAGAAAAAGAACTGGAAGTATATAAACTTGGGGAGCGTGGGAAAAGGACAAACCTATGAATCCATGTTTCTGGACTCTTCGGAAACTTAGTTAATGCCAGTTTTCCAAGGTGTAAATCCTTAAGTGGATTTAAAGTGCCAGACAATATTAGTTCCTTCCTGCAAAATAAAAAGAAAAATGCATTTGTAAAAATAAAGGTTTTTCCTTAAAAAAAAAAAAGAAGAAGTATGAAGCAAGTAATTTTCTTTAAAGCATAATATAACCATGGTTTCCCAAAATATAAAGCTTGAAAATAAACAAACCTTTAATGGATGAAGATACAGCACTGCAACCAAGTATAGTGTGTTTAAAGTAAATTTCAAAACTTCAGCTCTCTAACTTGGCCTGGACAATATCAGCTATTGTAGTGGTCCTCCACCTTTATAGACTCAAGGCAGTCCTTGTTAGACTCAAGAGGCACCTATACACATGCCCGACATCTGCAGATTAGAATATGTTGAAGCAGACTTGATTAATCAAGTCTGTTGGAGAGTGCTGATTAGCACGCTCCAGCAGCCTAAGTGTCACATGTATTTAGCATCCCCATGCTTCAGAATAGTGTCAGGGTGCCTCAACTAAAGCCCCTTGAATGAGATTTAATTAAAGCACCCCCCAGCCATTCTTAAGTGTGGTACACTGAATACATGAGATGCTGCAGGCGCTTTAATTAGAGTGGCTCCCAAGAGCTGCTCCAGTTAAAGGATCCCCTTCCTACCCCGAGGCATGTGTAAAGATGCTTAAGGAGCCCCTCAGAAAATGCCAGCTCTTTGTGTTTACTTGTTCCTTGACTATGGAAAAATAATAGAGCGATTCTTCTGTTGCAAGGAATTCAGAAAAACCACAACAGGTCAGAATGTTTTTGACACTATGGATTCCTATTTGAAATCTCTGGTTTAGCTTATGAATCATCAATTTGCTAATAATACTAATTTTGGCTGCATACACACATTCAAATAATCTCTCCTGGGAATTCTCCCAGGTTTGCTCTCCTGGTAGAAAAACCTAGCCAGAGCTGTGTTTATAGACAATTGAATGTTGAGGCCCTGAATAGTGGAGAGCTTGCAGTGTTGCCAACATGCAGCAGGGGAGGGGGTGGAAGGTGCTGTGCGCACACAGCACTGTGATCCGCAGACTCCCTTAGTCTGCCTGGTGATGGATGTAAGCAATGCAGGGGGCAGCCCTGATTGACTAACATCAACTGCCCATAACGGCAGCCTGTTACCCTGCAGCACAATATGGGGTTTGTGCTGGAGCAGCAGAGTCCAGTGAATGACATTCTCTCTCTGGGAGGCAGGAGAGGAAGGTGTGCTGAAGGACCATGTTCTCTTCTGAGAGAAGCCACAGCATGTACAGCCATTCACTGTCCCAAGAGAAACTGTCCTGGAGTGATTTAACCCTGGTTGTTTCCAGTTTATTCTTCTGGAGCAGCATTTTTACTCTGGGAGAAAAAGACTAAATACCTGCATACTTGTGGTTTCTCCTGGGAAAGCAGCAACTCTCCCAGGAAAAAATGAACATCTGTATGAGGCCTTTGTGGAATACCCTCAAAAGGATCTCATTCCTCCTCTAAGGCCTTAGCTCTAAGACCTCAGTGCATCTGAGCTGCTGGTACAAGTGTTGCTCTTACCCTGTAATCAAAGTGAGGATGTGAATTCATGTGGGTCTGCACATGCAGAAAGAGATATTTGTTCACAATTTTTTGTTGTGGGAAAAAGATCAGAGCCCTAAGAAGAACATAGGTGAAAAAAATCCTAATTGTTCTACTGTAGGCAGATAAGACTTTGTAGTAGCCTGATAATAAAAAATGGGTGACAATTTCTGAATTAGTTTCAGTCTTTTAGGTAAATTGAAATGAAATATCATTGTTTACTATGACTGTTTGGTAGCATTTCTTTCCATTCTTCTTGATTTGTTTTAGACAACTGTGCTTCATGAAGCTTCCTCATTCTTTGGCCCCAGTTTTGACCTTTTAAGTTCTGTTTTGGACCTGTGGTGGGGCTGCTTGTAGTGGGGCAGTCTCCAGGAAATGCCAGACCTGTGCCTCCCCAGTGAAGGGTGAGTATGGGGCGCTGGAAAGCCTCAGCCCCTGCTGCCTTGCAGGTGCCCCTATGGTCACCCCATTCAAATCATTGGGTTCAATAGTCAGGGTGCGTTCTGACAGTCAAATCATTGGGTTTGGCAGCACTAAATCATGGCTTGTGCAAATTATCTGTGTCCCCTGTCAGAATTGAACCCTGACCATTGACTGTTGGAACACACCCTGACAGAAAAGCACAGGCCAAAGCCCACCGAGCAGGGCCTGAGGTGGGGTCCAGGCTGATTGAAGGGGGCCTGAGGTGTGGCCCAGGCCCACTGATGCTCCAGTGAGGGGGGCATGGAGCTCAGGTAGGTCTGAGGACACCTGAGGCCAAGTTTGGGCTGGGTAAGGCTGAGTGCAGCCCAGCTAAGGGGCTGAGGAAGTATTAGTGTACGTGGATGCCATCTGCAAGGCATGGGAAATGGTATAAGGGTAGGTTTGGAGCCGTGTATTTGCACTTGGCGTCAGGGCAATTAAATGGGCAGCCTCTCACCTAGGAACATCTTTAGTTACAACAATGGTGTGGCAGGAGAGGCAGGTGGGCAAACTGCTCTAGATAAGTGGGTGGGCCAACGTTTGGACCAGCCCCAGGACGGCCCACTTGTTACACTTAGGCACTCAAGATGTTCTTTTTGGAAATGAGCAACTGGCTCACCCTTTCTTTTGGTTGAGAAGGTGGTGGAAGCAGAGGGCAGTCCTCAGTTTTTGTGCCTCCTCGCAACACTGTTTGAACATTTTTCATTATAACAGCAAATCAAAATGGATAAACACTGAAACAGAGAAGAGAATCTAAGATATCCTCACCCACACAAATATGCTTTTAATCTAGAGTACAGTCTTGCTTACTTTCCATCTAACCCAGGGAGTTTTGCATTCTGTGCTGTAGAACAGCCAGCTTCATCACTGGGGTGAAAATGTGTTCCATTTCAGTTTAGCCTCCAGCTTGGAAGATGGGAGAGATGGGTTTGAGCCCCTTCTATTACAGAACACAGGTCTTCAATTTTGTCGGAGAGCATTCTAACCTCTATACCAGTGGTACTCAACTTCTGGCCCATGGGCCAGATCTGTCTGTTTGCTTTTGAAAGAAAGTGGCTGTCAGCATGTGTTAGGCATGCTCTGAGCATGCCCTGTCTTGTGGCCTTCAGGGGTGTTAGGCACTGGGGTTCGTAGTCTGTAAATCCCAAACGTATTTATGCATGTGATAGGCACCAATATGCTTAGCCAAGGAAGTGGTATCTCTGAGCAAAGACAACCACAGAACTTTAGGCACCTCAGTAACTTCACTACACAAAACCTAGGTATCTAAGGACTGTCAGAACTTTCAACTATGTTGGGGGTTGTAGATCACTTTTTTGAATGAAGGCACCTAAATTCTACGTAAGTTGCACTAAGAGCCCAATGATTTACTGAATATGCTGCAAGCCCACATATAGCGAACTGATCTCCAGTGAAGTCAGGGAATAATAGTCTGCAACTCTACAGTCCCAAAAGTACTTGCCCTTTTAATTTTCAGTGCTTCAAGGTAGATTTCCAAACATAAAGGCCTGGCTGTCTTTCACTGCTGCAGTAGCAGCATAGTACTTTCTAGGTTTTGCAGATTCTCAACATGAAAGCACCCCCTTGAAAAAGAACAGATTCAATTATAGGTGCGACTAAAATCCAGCACAAAATACAACATGCTTACAAATTTGCCTTCTTTGGGCTCCTTAAGAATATACCTAACTAGGGCAACAATATTGCTGATTCTGGTTTGTGTTTTGTTCTAATTGCCTTTAGTATTCTAGCCTATATGAAGAATAATGTCAAGATACCACTCAATTGCCTCAGAGCCATCAGCAAGAGCTTGAGGTTGCTGTCATCTCTTGGGACTTAGAGAATTTGAATTTATTTTGAGACACTTTCAATCCGATGTACACTGACCCTTGCTCAGTTACTCATCTGTGGTTCCACCAGTGAGTACTCTAATAAATCTAGCTTTCTGCATACACCTCTGTGATACCTTCTCAAGAAACTGGAAAGGGACGCTTTTACTCTCGATAGCTTGATTCAAAATTAAGGCTACTTTTTGGCCTGGAAGTAGTAGTAAACCTCTAACATTTAAACCATGTTTAGTTACTGTGCAAGCTGCATTAAACAAGGTAAAGAAACACAATTTCTCCTCTTGTTATATATTAAGAAACAAATGTAGTAACAGAATCACCTTGTAGACTAAGCAACATTTTCTGCTTCCACATTTCATAAGAACAGCAAAGGAAGTGGGTACACTGAAGGAATCATTTCTAAAGGCTTGGACATATTGTTGAAAGAGCTGCTCTCACAAGAGCTTTTATTTCTTTTGTAAACTATACCAAATGGTCTCTCTTTCCTCCATGAATATTTAGTTTCCCATCCATTACGGAAATGGCATTTATCACTCAGTTATCATACCCCTCAACTGTGCCGTACACTTCTGTGCCATTGGATTCACTCTTATGTGGCCCATAAACTTCCAGTATAACCTGAACTGGCAGTGGAAAATATTTCCCTGCCTATCCTTCCCTCCACAGATATTTTACACAATAAAAAAGTCAAATCCAGTCTATCGAAATACACATGGGTTTTATGTGAGTGTATAAAATAGCATGAGAGTCAAGGACAGATTTGCAAATTAAACTATCTGGCCCTAGCTGTAGTGGCCAACTTTGTAATGGGAACACTAATGAGCTGTTAAAGAGAAGCCATCTCTCTCCTAAAATTAAAAACAAGTTGTGCATTGGAGTAGCAGCACATAATCAAACTGTAATTTATTTTATAGCAAAGTACACTCTGGCCTGGCTAGAAAATTAAACTAGCGCTTACCTTTCTGATAAAGTTAACTGCTGCTGTACTACTCAACTATAGCTGAAAAACCCAGATCCAATCTTTTCCTCTCTCAGGCCCCCCAGATCTTTGATCACTAACAAACACAGTCAGAGGGAGGTTTCATTTTCTGGTGTGCTCAGCTGTGCGCTTCTCTTGGTGTTTTATTTTTGTGGTTCATCTACCTTTTCTGACTGGTAACTGCTCTACTGCTCCACTCTGTCTTCTCTTGTGTTTCTCTTTCATATCAGGCATGCAGGACCATGTCAGCGGGCCAGCACAGCTTCCTCGAGGTGTAGCAGGGCAGCTCCATGTGTGGGGAAGCTGCAAGGCATAGGGAGACACTGGCTGCCACCATGATGATGGCAGCAATGTGGTCAGGCACCGCTATGGTGGTGGCTAATTTTGCACCCCTCACCTCCAAAGGCAGCACCTGGGACTGCTGCCCTGGTCATCCTCCCTCACTTATACTATTTGGGCTTCATATGGGTCTGGAAATTTGGTGGTGGGGGATCAGTGGCAGTGCTAATTGCTGTGGTCCTGGGAACTATGGGAATTTATGTTGTTACTACTCCCCAATGCCAAATTTCTGCACCCATGGTGAGTCCCCTGGGCTGAATGACATGGCTCCATAGACCAGATCCAGTCCACAGGGTACAGGTTGAGCACCACTGCTCTAAATATTTCATAACTGTTTAAGAGTATAAGAACATCATTTATTTCCAGTTTGTTTCAGAGTTTATGGGAATATGACCATTTCTGTATTTAGATTTAGGAACCACCACACAGATTACACTACATGAAGGAATGTACAATCCTTATTGCCAGTGCATTTATCCGAATTGTATTTGTGACTCAGAATAAAATGGTCTTAACAGACTGCACTTGCAAACCCTTTTAGCTTTCAAGCAGTTAAAATATAAGGTGAAGAGGATGGACAGACAGGAGATGTATTGCTATTAGAAAAAATGGGTTCAACTAAGCAGCAGCAGCACAGCGACAGGGAACATTACTGAAAGCAACTCCTAAGAAGTTGGCACGCAATAATGCTACTGAACAGGATCACAAGCTATTTTTCAACTTAAATGCCCCATCAATTTTATCATTTCAAGGATACTCAAAGATACATTTTTCTCACGATAGAGTCAGCCTTTTATGACCTCTACTTCCCTTTTCGTACATGAATGCTACTTCAAAGAATCGGTTTGCAGCAGAAACCTTGATAAATACACTATAGACAGAAAAAAATGGAGCTTGCTTTATCTGGATCTGATAGTTACTCACTAGAAATACAGTATTAATGGACTGATTTCTTCATTCTTCCTACTGCATGAAGCCCTCTGAACAGCTGAAAACCTGTATTTGTAAGCACTTTAATCTACCCAGACATAGAGCTGCATTTTTAGTTAGAAACCCCTCCAGCTATCCTTCAAGAGGGGTGAGAGGTAGGGGGAAGGGCAGGAAGAGACTATTCCCACTAAAGCGCTCTGTGCAAGATCTGAGATTAGCTTCAGTCTCTTTACTTAGGGAAATGTAAAGAACAGCTTCACCATCAGGAGCAAGGAAGCTGATTCCTGTTTCCTCTTCACATATACTGGGGAAGCAGGGCTACACTGTCATGACTGAGGATATGGCATGTAGATTCCCATGTGGACTGAAGGATCTGCAGAGATGTCTGGGATCAAAGCCAGTCCCAGAGCTCTCCCTTTACTTTGGGGGATAGCTAAATGGCAGAACATGAACTGTTGATATTTAACTCAGATGAGCTGTACTGTTACTGTGCTAGTGAGTGAACTACCAGAGGCTCAAAATGATCAAGGTGCACAATCCTGGCAGAGGTAACTTTAAGCCAATTACAACAGCGAAGGTCAACTGGGCACCCTCTAATACCAGAACAAAGAAACACCTAATTAAAAAGGCAACAGGCTATCTTAACAGATGAAAAGCAAGCTGTTTTTTTCTTCTGCATAAACTGGTGCATTTAACTCGGCCACAAAATGTAAGAAAGACCTAGATTTTGGAAAAATAAAAGAACAGTCCAGCAGAACTAAATAAAGGCAGGTTAGTCATTTACACAGATAACTTCCATGGTTACATCAGCTGCAATCTCTCTTAAGAAATTCACTACCCACTTTGATATCTGGCAAAAATTTCTCTTATAGGCAAGTTATTCTTTAATTGACCATTAATGAGGATTTGACAGCTTCCTTGGAAGTGCCTAAGTATTAGCTACTGTTGGAGATAGGATATGAGGCTAGATGGATCATTTAAACAAATCATTAGTCTAATTCAGTAGGCAAGTCCTTTGTTATGCAGGAAAGGAGAGGAGTCAACGTATTCAGTTCAGAGCCTGAGACTAATTCACCATACATACGGCTTGTCTCCGTTTCCTTAAGTGTACTTACTGATTTTCATGTAGAGCACTACAAAAGTCTTAAGCACTATTATTATATTTTGGGACTGCTTTGTTCCTTTCTTCTCCCAGTGGCTTGGGAAGAAGGAGATATATCTGTATTCTATTAACTCTTTTCCTCACATCTGCAACAGGTTAGGATTTAAGACAGACTGCTCAGTGCTTTCTAAACTATCCCATAAGGTAAGTTAGTTTAGAAATGCTCTTTAGTGCAAAAGGAAACTCTGATTTATCTGATGCCAGGGAGAATGAACAAAATGCTGATTAAACATGATGTCTTGGGAAAAGGGACACTCCTGGCCCCAGGTAATACAAAATCTAAATATTTAATTCCCCTTATTCATTTATTATACAGAAGAAAAGCCACCCATTGATAAGGCTTTTGCCAGCTACAATCAGTTTCATTCACTGTAAACAAAGAAACATCTCTCATATAATGAAGTTACTTTTCAAAGGTAACCTCATATAATGCAGGGGCTCAGAATGAAAAACCCTAGCAGACAGAGATGGAATTTTACAGGAATTTAAACCAAGGTAAAAGTGCTGACCAATAGATGGGTGGAAGCAGCAGCTTTAGTCCTTCCATAAAATAACTTCTTTATCCAAGATCTCTTTTCAAATAGAGTGGAATAACCCTTCATTTGCATTTGAAAGAAAAAGTGTGTGAAATGTGACACATTAGCTACAAGGGACATCAGAATAGAAGAGGTTCCAAATATTGTTTCAGCACATCTTATCCAAAAAGCTGTTGCTGTGTTGTTAAATCCCACTTAAAACAAAGCTTATGGCTGACTCAGTCTGAAGGCAGCTGGCCAAGCTCTTTCTGAAGTCATTTGCTGAGTGTGACATACCTGACGTTCCACGCAGTGGTGAAGTCTGGGTTTAGCAGCAGCAGTGTACATGTGACATCAATCAGTTCTAAAAGATTGAAAAAAAATCCATCAAAGATTAACAGTGCTAAAACTTCAGCATTTCTTCCCTTTGTGTCCTCTCAGACCCCAAACCTCCTCAAAGTCTCTTCTCCGTGACGTGTGTTCTTAAATGGAGATGCATCTCTTGGAGATACTCTGCATTTCTATTACAAAGTGCTGGCACAAATGGGGGAATGTAAATTAAAGCTCCCTCTCTCTGCATAATGCAACTTCTTAAACTAGAGTACACTAGTATCTATGTACTACATTATAGGATCATAGGAAAGCAGGGCTGCAAGGACCTCATAAAGGTCACTTAATCCAGTCCCCTGCACCAGGCAGGATCAACCCTAACTAAACAATCCCAGCCAAGTGTCTCTAACCTGCTCCTGAAAATTTCCAGGGATGGAGATTCCACAAGTTCTGTAGGTAGTCTGTTCCAGTGCTTAACCAACCTCAGAGTCAGAATATTCTTCCTAATCCCCAACCTATTTTTCATCTGCTGCAGTTTGAGGAGGTCTTTGCTTCTTGTCCTGTTTCCTACAGTCATAGAAAGAAGGCTATTTCTATCCCTCTTTATAATCGCTCTTCAGGTATTTGAAGACTATTATCAAATCCATGCCCCCCAAGTCTTCTCTTCCCCAGACTAAATTATCCTAGTTCTTTCAGCCTTTCCTTGTAAGTCATGCTTCCCAGGCTTCTAATATTTTTTGTCACTCTCTGCTGGACTCTTTCCAATCTGGCCATATCCATCTTGAAGTGTGGGGCCCAAAACTGGACACAGTCCTTCAGGTAAGATGTTACAAGTGCTGAAATGAGAGGAAGAATCATTTCCCTTGATTTGCCAGTGACACTCCTGCTAATACAACCTAATATGCTGTTGGCTTTTATTTGGCTCATATTCAGCTTAGGGTCCAGTGTAATACCCAGGTTCTTCTCTGCAGTACTGCAACATAGCCAGTCATTCCCAGTCTGTATTTGTGCATGCAATTATTCTGTCCCAAGTATGGAACTTTGCACTTGTCCTTGTTGAATATCATCTGATTGACTGCAGACCACCTTTCCAGTTTATGCAGGTCATTCTGGATCCAAGCCCTGCCCGCCAGAATGTCTGTAATTCCACTCAAATTGGTGTCATTTGCAAATCATTAGCTACTTCCAGCTGTATGACTATGATTAAAAAATGTAAAGTTTTGTAATCATGCTAGTCCATTTAGTGATTGAAAGCTGTGTAAAGACGCACAGAATTCTTCACAAAAAATGGAAATGAGATCTTAAAACTATCACAGCTATTGCAGAAGGACTGTGTTGTTACAAGATCTGTGAGCTACAGACGGCAACTCTTTTTAGCTGTTCAGTTTTATGTAACTGCAAATACTATAACAATTCTAGCTGTGAAAGGGAAAAAAACTACAATAATTATGAATTAGGAGCAGAGAATACTGCACATTAATTCATTTAATTAGATGCACAGCTATGTAACAGAAGATACTTTTAATGTATTCTGAACAGGCTGCCTCTCCACAGATTGAGCTATTATGACTAATTCACAAAATAAGCAATAAACAGAAGCATCTATAAATATTTGTTTGCCTCATTCCCTCTAAAAACTCTGCAGATCAGATGTATATATATTTAATGATGTCATAAAATTAGGGAGAGCTATGTGGGTGGCTGACAAGAGAAGAGTAATTCCATTCCAGCCTTGTCTCTCCTCTTCCCCCTGCACTCTGCTGCACTAATCAATTAGTCTGAGGCCTATCAAGATAAAAAAGCTTAGTGTTCTGTGCATCTCCTTGTAAAACAGAGACAATACGCAATATCTGGGGTTTGTTTCCTTAACCCCTGCTTCCAAAAGTCACAAGATCAGCTTGGTTAATCTTCTCTTACAGCCACAATCCTTACATTTACAGGCTGACTTAATGAGCTGAATTAGGGGGAGGAAAATCTCTGACAAACTAGGCATAATTATCACCGTTTCTGTTGCCAAGACTGCTAGTTTAGATTTCCTACTGTTCACCCTACATTCAAAATACTCAATAGGTTGTACACTAGGGTGATTTGCCTCCAAAACAGAAGTTATTTTCAGTTAATTGCATCTCCAGAAAGGAGAGGCATTGGACCACAATGTGTTTTAAGAAAAGAGCTGGAAGAGGAGAGGGGGGAAAAGGAGGGGAGTCTACACCGAGCTAAATCCATGGTTGGTTTAATTGAGGTGACTGGACAATCAGAAATTAACAATCAGCTGACTATATGGAACCATAAGACACACTGATCCCCAACGGCAGAAAGAGGTGCTAGAGTGGTCAGATGCATCCTTCAACTGGGATTTCTGCCAGAAAAAAGTGAATTTAATCACCTGAGGTTCCAGTGTTGCCTAAAGGCCTCTGTCTAAATGCCTGATGCAAGACACATTGTGATGCTTTACCGATACTTCAAATTCAGTTAGCAGCACCCATATATACATAACACTTGAACAAAAACCCCCTGAACCTAGCATATTTGAGACCAGTTCACCTACACCTGGTCCACCGAAGTGTTTAAGCACCTGAATAGTCCTATTGAAGTCCATGGAATTATGCAAAAAATCAGATGTCAGATTAAACATTTGAGCCCTGCCACACTTTCAAAATAAATTTAATTAGAAACCAGCTATAAAGTTGTTACATATTTTCAAGCACTAACTTTGCAGCAAACTGGGTCTTTTTATAGCTGGACTGTCACTTTTATGGTGTCATAATTACTTTGTACGTAGGGGCTGTTCTAAATGTATTGTGGGATTAAGCAGGTAATTGCATAATATATATAATGTGCGGCTGGAACCTTTACTAGGCCACATCTACACATCACACTTAACCAGATAATAACACCTTAAGTAGCCACCTGGCTACACGTTCAATCAATTAATGGTGTGTTAAAAAGAAATAAGCTACAAAGTTATTCCACAAAAAATGTGGAATAACTTTGTAGCTGCTTCCTATCACACTGTTAACTGAACTTGTGGCCGGGGGCCCCTGTGGCTGGGAGCCCCATCAGCTGATTGGAGCGCCCCACTAGAGAGGCCCATGTGCATCCTTAAGCCTGGGAGCTCCCAGCTAACAGGGCTCCCAGCTGTGGGGGGCCCCATGCACCCCCGCAGCTGGAAGACTGCAGCTCATGTGATCTCTCAGCTGTGGGGGCATGTAGAGCAGCTGAGGGGGGTTCCCAGCTGCACGAGCTTGCTTCTGGCCATGCAGGTGGAGCCCAGCCATAAGGCACGATGGGATCTGATTTGCAAAAAAACCGTGATGGGATTTGATGCAGGTGTGGCATGGCAGAGGGTGTGATTGTGTGGATTGTGCATTAGATCCCATCGTGCCTGCACATGTTGAGGAGCCCTTAGTTACAGGGCTCGCTATTTCAGTTTTGCTTACCCCAAAACCTGACCAACCAGGTTAGCAAAAAACAGTGATAGTATTACCCTTTGCAACAATAACATCCTACTGGTGGCTGTGGCTGCTTTTAAAAAGAGGAAGTTTTATCGTGTAAAAAGCTGAAATTAGCTTCAACAAAGAAACAATCTGAAAATATAAAGATAGGTTGTTAGGGGTAAATTTTCAAAGGTCACCAGAATGGACAAATACAAAATTTATATAACCAGAAAAGGGCACTTTGCATATGCAAATCACATAATGATGTGACATGATTTGGGAATTCCTTGAGAATTTGTCTTACAAAAAGCAACTGGTCATCCACCACTACACAGAATACTTCCAGCTTTCTGCCTGCTCTAGATTTTCAGTACTTTGTCCCAAGAAGTCAGAATAATATTGTGGGCATGCAGAACTGTGTTGGCAGCCTCTGCCTCTCCTAGCGACCCAAACAACCCTGTCCTTCAGCTCCTATTTTAAGGCAACTGAAGCAAGCATAATCCCAAGATCAGAAACAAGAGCAGATGTCTCTTTGTGAAAGTCCATTTGTCAGAAAGAGGTAAATATCTTTCCCTCATCCCAAGAATCTCATTGTAACTGTACTACATCAGACTGGCTGTTTAGAAGAGGGTTAATTCTGGGAAATAATCTGCCACTTGAGCTGGATGTCAGTACCAGGGCTGCAGTTATCCAACAGCAATGACCTAATTCTGGCTGGGGAGAAATTGGGGCCTTAATGAAAGAAAATGAACCTGCCTTCCTTAGAGACAGGATAACTGCTGGCCTCTTTTGAGGAGGTTTCTGACATTTGCTTATGAAATCACTACTTGACTTGGACGACCCTGCATCTTCTCTTATATTTCTGGTTAAGCATATGTAGAGTTGTGGCAAAACAATTCCAAGCACCTCAGCATTGTCTCATCTCTCTGCACGTCACAGGCTGTGACAGGCACCAGTACACTGTCTGCAACCAGCAAATGCCTCTGCCCTAGAGCTGTACCTGCACCAGACAGTGGCAAAAATTACTGTTTTGAAGGATGACTCCCTCAGTCCAGAGACAAGGAAAAAACATCCACACTCATATCTCCGGTATTTGAGACCACTGTTCACAAAATACAGTTCTGCCTGCAAGGGTCTGTTGTGGTGGATTGGAGTACCTGAAATAGTTCTGATCTCCCATGCTGAGACCAAGTGAAATGACCCTAGTGGACATCCTCCTCTACCTTCAATATGCTTACCTCCCAAAAGGTGCAATAATCTTCCTTCCTAGTATCCAAAACCCATAGAAAAAAGAAACTCTTGGGAGAGCTGACACTTCAAAAGGGGTGAGCATGCCAACAGGAGATTGATGGCATTCAGCTTGACCTATACCACCTTTATAGCAGACATAAATCCTGGGGAGCTTAGCATGGACCTCAATTGGTTAAACTAAAGTGAAATATGTTAACCTGGGGAAATGTCAGGGCTAGGTAGCAGACCTGTTTTTTTTTTACCTAAGTAAACCCTACTTGCAGCCAAACCCAAAATTCACCTGGAAATGCAAGCTGGGGAAAAATGAGGCAGCTCACTTATTAAGTGGTATATCTAATTAAGAGTA